CTCACGCACCCGATTCACATTTACCGACAATTCGACCGGGACGCCGCCTTTCCCGTGGGGTACCAACTAACATTTTTGGAGTCAGTCAAACCCCCCGATCCTCTACTCAGGTCTATCCTCTTTGGAATGCCGTTTGGCATCTCTCCCTTTCCATCTCTGAAACAATATCCTTATATAAAAAAAGCATGGACTGGAAACTGTCATGGCGGAGAGCATGTAAAAAATGTCATGGCGGCGCATGAAGGATGCATTCTCATCATGAGAATGAGCAATGCGGCCGCGACGGCGCTGTTCAGGAAATTGCGCGTAAATTACAAATCGGATTCTCTATGTGAAATGAAAAATTGTTCGAATGATGATTGATAATTGGATAACTTGAAAGCCAAGAATGGAATGAAACAAGTGGGAAATTACGTTTATCGTCATATAGTATATGGGGTATTCCATGNCGGCCGCGACGGCGCTGTTCAGGGAAGCGCGCGTAAATTACAAATCGGATTCTCTATGTGAAATGAAAAATTGTTCGAATGATGATTGATAATTGGATAACTTGAAAGCCAAGAATGGAATGAAACAAGTGGGAAATTACGTTTATCGTCATATAGTATATGGGGTATTCCATGTGAACTCACCCAGGCCAAAACGTGGTTGTATATGGAAAAATATGACTTCTCTAATTTTTTCAGATTTTTTGAGGCATCCTGTGGACAGCCATCTTTTTTGGCAAGTTTTATCTTCCAATGCCCGTAACTTCCGTAAAAATCAACCGATTGGAGTTTTTTTTTACAAAATGTGCGCCTTCGAACACACTTTCCATATAAAAATATGCCAATTTTTTTCAATTCGTTCTTTCATCGATTTCCTCAGAAATAACTCAAAAAACTTCAAAAAACGAGTCGTTTCCAAGGTTGGACCCTTTTTATATTTTTCAAAAAATTTCAGTGAATATATTGGACCAAAACAAAATTTTTCACCGCGATGGTGAGGGTTTTGACCTGGGTGAGTTCACATGGAATACCCCATATACATATTTTCTACACATGGATTTGTTTATAATGAGGGCAATGGGAAATTATTTTTTGGTGATGGATGTTAAAAATTGAAAGGTGGTTGAAATGATTGATAATTAGATGAACTTGAATGTCAGGAGTGGAATAAAATAGAAGTGATTAATTGCTTTCGT